TCCCTCCATTTATTTAGATATTTGATTAACTTCAGGAATGTTTTCATTTTCAGCATATATGTTCTACCCAAAGGTTGTCAGATGTATACTTTGGTGATTATTTTTATTTTTGGTGCTAACTGTAATTTTTTTTTTTAATTTAAAGTTCCAAGTGTTCATTGCTGGCACATGGAGCCGTGAACTTTTTAACACTGACTTTGTTGTTCAGCTCACTTACTAGGTCTATGAAACTTTTTGTGTATCTTTTGAAATTTTCCTACTTAGCGAGTCATGTCATATACGAATAGCTCTTGTTACCAGCTTGTATGTTTACTTCCTTAGACTGACCTATTATACCATCCAGGAATTTCAGCACAATATTGAGGATTTGTTGATGAGAGAAACTTGTCCTCTCACAAATATTAGAAGGAAAAGCATTCATTTTCTCACAGTAAGTATATTTTTTATACATACACTGTACCGTGTTTCAGAAGTTCCCCTCTATGCCTAGTTTGTTAAGGCACTGTATCTTGAATGGACACTAAATTTTGTCAACTCTGGGTGGTGAACACACCATACAATGTACAGATGATGTATTATAGACGTGTACACCTGAAACCTATGTAGTTTTATTAACCAATGTCACCCCAATAAATTCAATAAAAGTGTTTTAAATTTGTTGTTAAATACTCAGTGGGATGACAAAATGGTTTTCCTTACTTTGTCAATTACCTTTGATTTTTGAATGTATAATGAGCTCTGAAATTGTGGGTTAAAACCCACTTATTCACAGTATATTCTTCTTCTTTTATATATAGCTGGGTTTTCTAACACTTTGTTGCCCATTTTTGCATCTATGTTTATGAGAGACAGTGTCCAGTTCTCTTTTCTTGTAATTCTGTTGATTTTTAATGTTCTGGCCTCAAAATGTAAGTTAGGAGACTCCCTCCTTTTCTATTTCCTATAATAAGGGACATAGAATTGTGGGTTATGTTTTCCTTAATTATTTGGTAGTATTTGTCAGTGAAACCACTTGGGCCTAGTACTGAATAATTTTTAACTAAACTTCAATTTCTTTACTAGTTATCGGATTATTCAAATTACCAATTACTTAAGTTTTGGCAATCTTTATCCTCTAAGATGCCGAAACACAGAGGTGATTCACCTGTTATCCTTCTTAATTTCTGAAAGCTCATTAGTAACACCCACTCTTTTACTGCATATATTGGCAATTTCTTTCATGTGTTTTTGTCACCCTTGCTAGGGGTTTATCGATTTCACTGAGCTTTTCTGTGAACCAGCTTTTGGCTTGATTGATTTGTCTTTATTTTCAACATTTATTATCTGGACCTTTACAGAAAGTCTGCCAACCCCGAACTAGCACCATGATCGATCGATCAGTCTTCTATCATCAAATTGTTACGTCCTCTCCTCTCATTCCCATTCAACCTTTTCTCACGTGGTCATTTTAAACCAGCTGCCTAAAGTTCCAAAGCAGTTAATATACAGACAAAAATAAAAGATGTCACCAGAAAAGGCACACTAGATTCAGAAAATTTTTTCCTAAGTTCATATTTACTGAAAAAATACATTAGGAGTAAGGTAAATATGACCATCTAAAGCCAAGTGAAGAAATACTATAATTATCAAAAACTAAGAATATACTTTCCCTGAAATGTTAAATGTTGTACTAAAAGGAGGAAAGATGCAAACCGTTGGTATTTGTTCCCAGCAGTTCCAGGTTCCTGCACGTTGGTCCTAGCAGCACGTCAGAAGGCAACCGAGACTGGCATGGACAGTCTTCCCACAGGTGAACTGAGGGAGGAGTGACACGGGGGTTCACCAGTGCTGGGGACACAGCTGCCACAACATTCTTCTCTAAGGCTGCATCATTATTGAGCGTCTAACAACTAAAGAGTTAGGAAGCAACACTTTTTCAGCATTATCTTCTTTTACTTTATTTTTATGGTCGACACTGTTACAGATGGTCCATATTCCCTCTGTGACCACCTCTATCCAGTCCCAGCCCCCAGCATTATCCTCTTCCACACCGCATGCCCTTTGTGTCAATGCTTTCTTTTCAAAGTTTCTTCACCACTCTTAAGAAAATAATTATACTGGCCCTGGCCCGGTAGCTCAGTTGGTTAGAGTTGTCCCAAGAGACCAAGGTTGTGGGTTTGATCTCCAGTCAGAGCACATACAACAATCAACCAACAAATGCATAACTAAGTGGAACAACAAATTAATGTTTCTCTCCCCCCCTCTCCTCCCTCGCTAAAATCAATCACTAAATACATTTTTTTTTAAAGAAATAAAAAACTGTCCTGGCCAGTTTTAGCATCAGCAGTTGGAGCATCAGCCCTCGGACCAAAGAGTTGCGGATGCAGTTCCAGCCAAAGGCACGTGCCTCAGTTGCAGTTTGTCCCCAGCGGGTGGGAGGCAACCAATTGATGTGTCTCTCTTACATCGATGTTTCTCTCTCTCACTCTGTCTGAAGATAAATAAAAAAATATCCAGGGTGAGGGAAAAAAGAAAGACAGAAAGAAAAAGGAAGGAAGGAAGGAAGGAAGGAAGGAAGGAAGGAAGGAAGGAAGGAAGGAAGGAAGGAAGGAAGGAAGGGAGGGAGGAAGGACCTATTAGATTTCTGGAGTTCTTCTGAGTCCATTTGTTACACCTCCCGGACGGTTTTGGCAGGAATTTTTCAACTGAGGTAAATCATACCGTATGACCTCTCCCAATTTCTTTCTTTTTTTTTTTTCCTCTCTCCCAATTTCTATCCAATCCTTTCCTCCCCAAATGTTTTATAAATATGCAACCAGGCTAAAATAAACCAAGGAAAGCAAACTGCAAACTTGGCAGCAGACTGCAACGTTCTGCCCTGTCAATGACTAACCAGCTGGTCCCTGCAGGCCAAACGGGCCTGCCTGTGTTCCGCCATCCTCGGAGGTAGCCGGTGGGAAAATGCACAACAGCTCAGAACCTTTCCTGTGTCACGGACAAAACACAGCCTGGTGAGGTCAATGGACCCAATCCAGAGTAACACATTTAAGCATATAACACAAAATATATTGGATTACAAGTATACTGAAATAATCAGAAAATATTTTCCAAACCAAACATATAATATAGTAGTATACCTATTTCTTTACAAACAGATGCAACGCCCAGTTCTAATAACTACCACGTACAAACTGTGGTACATCCACACTGTAAAGTTCACTATATTAACTATATGCACTTGTCAAAGGTCAAAGAATTGTATACTAAAAACTGTGCCTCTTCCTATATGTCAGTTACACCTAGTCTGACGACTACAATGAGAAAGTTTTGAAGAAGTGCTACAATAGCTGTAAGAACACCAATGTGATGTGACAATGTCAGAGATCCTTTTAGTGACGAGCTGACAGCACGGCTCTATCCTAATGTGGTTTACTGTTGTTTCACTAATCATGGAAGCGTAAAACTTCGGGGTGCAGTGAATAAAAACAAAGATGGGAATGTTCCTCCCAGTTTCGGTTGATGGCCCTCATGAAATCCACCCACGGAAGGTGTGCAGGGAGCCCACAGAAGGGAGCCCACAGAAGGTGTACACGGAGCACACAGTAGGGAGCCCACAGAAGGTGTGCACGGAGCCCACAGAAGGTGTGCACGGAGCCCACAGAAGGGAGCCCACAGAAGGTGTGCACGGAGACCACAGAAGGGAGCCCACAGAAGGTGTGCACGGAGCCCACAGAAGGGAGCCCACAGAAGGTGTGCACGGAGCCCACAGAAGGGAGCCCACAGAAGGTGTGCACGGAGCCCACAGAAGGGAGCCCACAGAAGGTGTGCACGGAGCCCACAGAAGGGAGCCCACAGAAGGTGTGCACGGAGCCCACAGAAGGGAGCCCACAGAAGGTGTGCACGGAGCCCACAGAAGGGAGCCCACAGAAGGTGTGCACGGAGCACACAGAAGGGAGCCCACAGAAGGGAGCACACAGAAGGTGTGCACGGAGCCCACAGAAGGGAGCACACAGAAGGTGTGCACGGAGCCCACAGAAGGGAGCACGCAGAAGGTGTGCACGGAGCTCACAGAAGGGAGCACGCAGAAGGTGTGCACGGAGCACACAGAAGGGAGCACACAGAAGGTGTGCACGGAGCACACAAAGGAAGCGACACAGATGCCCAGGTAGCAGATAAACGAGCAGCCCGGGGTCTGTGCACGTGGCTGGGTGTCAGTCACCGGGCAGAGGCTCTGCATCCGCAGTCAGCAAATCGGGGTGCCGGGGTTGGCCAGACATGGTGAGGTTGAAAGAGGCTCAGAGCCATCACCCTTCCCTTCCCATCCTGGGAGCATCTAGAAAGTTCCATCTGCTCTCACTTTTACAGACCCTTCGGGTCCATCACATTCCACGTCCCCCGCACCCCAGCTCCCTCCGACACCCCGCCAAGCCCGGGGCCGCCCCCGACTCCGTCGTGGCCTCCACCGGACCGCCCTCCCAGAGGACTAGAAGTACGGGGGGGAGGGGAAGACAAAGCAACTCTCCGCCGGTCCCCTGGTCACCGCGCTCCTCGGGAGGGGCGGGAAGGACTCGCCGTTCACGTCGGAGGATCTGGGGCACGTCCTTCCTGCCGTGTGAGCGACGACACCACACCTGCATTTCCACGGAGACTCAAGGCACCGACCCTCGCGGGCCTCCCGTCAAACGTCGTCCGCCACCTGCCTCTTTTCCCGGGAAACGTCGAAAAACCCACCTGGTGCCCCTGTGACCGCCCACGCCTGCGCACAGCGCCTGCGGTGGAAGAGGTGTTCTCAGAGCGCATGCCCCGCCCTGGAAGCCCCGCCCTGGAAGCCCCGCCCCTGAGACCTCCCGGCACTTCTGAACTGGTACCTGAATCCCGCCGCACGCGCATGCGTTGCTACGGTACTTGGTCTCCCCGCAGCTGGGAGAAGCCGAAGGAGCCGGAAGTTGCTCGGCTTCATCACCTCCCCTTCGCCCGGCGGAAACCCAGGCTCCCGAACACAGGTTCCGGGGCTGGTCTGGCCTGCGGGTGGCCGAATGGAGACCCGGACGGAGGACGAGCGGTTGGCCCGCCGCCCGACGCTGGCCTCTTCCTGGGATGCGGCAGGCGGGGCCCTGGACCAGCGCCTCCGGGTCTCCGCAGCGGGACTGGGCGGCCGGGACCTGGACTGGGACGAGCTGCTGGCGCCGCCGGCCCCGGGGTGCGCTGGGCCGGCGGGGGCGGGTCGCTGCTCCCCGCGGCCGCGCTCCTGGGGTGCTGAGGGCTCGGGGGCGGGCGGGGCACCCCGACCCCCATCCCCGCCGTAGCCGCCGGGCGGTCCGAGCGGCCCGCGCCCCCGGCTCCGCCTGCAGCCGGCGAGCTGCCCTCCGCGGCCAGAGCGGCGCAGACACCGCCCGCCCGGCCTGGGCGCGGCCCGCGGCCCCGAGCGCAGAGCGGCCCCGAGCGCGCGGGGGTGGAAGGGGCTCCGGGGCTCGGCGGCGGCGGCCAGCAGGCGCGCAGGGCGAGCCGCGGGGCCCGGCCGTGTGCGGGCGAGGGCGGCGCGGGGCCCGCAGCGAGGGCGGCGGGCGCGCGGGACCCGGGCGGACGCGCCTGGCGCCAGGTGCGCGGAGCCCGCCGTGACGCCGCCCTGTCCTCCCAGCCAGGATCTGGCGGTGCTGAAGCGGAGCCCGGGGAGCCGCGGCGAGGAGCCCTGCTGCCTGCACCTGGCCTGCGACCCCGACGGCGGCGCGCAGGTCGGGGCGGTGGGCGTCCTGAGCTCGGCCCGGAACATGGAGGTGTACGTGGGCGCCGAGTACTGCGGCACCGGCAGGGGCAGCAGCGTCGGCACCGTCCTGGACCGCAGGTCTGTGCCCGCGCGGCCGCTCGCCGTCGGGCTCCTCTCGGGGGGTCTGACTGCGGCGCCCCGTTCCGGGCGACTTCAACGTACCGCGGGCACAGAGTCAGACCTTCAGGGACCCCCGGGACCGGCCCGGTCGCCTCGTTGTTTTCAGGATCCCGGGAACTGAGAGCCGCGGGGGATCGTTGGGTGGAAGGTCACAGCTCGGCAGGGGCGCAGATTCCTCCTGTTTCCTGTACCTCAAGGGCTCAGTTTTCCAAAAGTTAATTTGTCCATCAGTGTGGACCTTTGATCTTCTCTTTTTGTGGGAAGCCCTGTACGAACAGTGCCCAAGCCCAGCGCTGTGCCTGCATATTTCCCCCGGTATTACTACTTGTTGATCTTTTCAGACTTTTACTCTTTCTTTTATAGAACCCAAAATATAAATCGTTTTATATGTTTACCAAGCTTTCAAATGTGTTGTTGCTACATAATTCTACAGTTCTTATCAAAGGTAATTCTTTCTTACAGCTAGTAAGTGGCAGATGGAGTCCCTCTGCCCAGGGCCATTCAGTGGGAGCCACAACCCTTCATGCTTCACCCGGGAAACTGAATCCCAGGCAAAGTGTTGTCCTGAAAATTTTATTTTAATTTTTAAAACTTGATTTATAGAAACAGAGGAAGGGAGGGAAGGAGAGATAGAAAATCAATGAGAGAGAACATAGATTGGCCGCCTCCTGCACGCCCCCCACTGGGGATTTGGCCCACAAGCTGGGCATGTGCCCTGACGGGGAATTGAACCTGCCACGTCTTGGTGCATAGGTCTCTGCTCAACCACTGAGCAACACTGGCCAGGCAAAAATCCTTTATTTTTAAATGTGACTGTTAAAACTGATCATGTGGCCTGGTTGGTTTGGCTTGGCAGTTAGAGCGTCACCCGTGGACCAAAGTGTCTCAGGTTGTGAGGGGGCAACTCATCATTGATGTTTCCCCACTCCCCCCCAGTCTGTCTAAAAACAAATCAATAGAAAAATACCCTTAGGTGAAAATTAACAAAAAAATAAATATTTAAGTAAAAATGATAATGTGTGAAAGGGAGAAAATAACTCAATTTTTATTTTTGTTTTTAGAGAACATGAAAACATTATCTTATACAAAAAATATCTGAAATTGGAGTCCTCCGCACATGCTTGTAAAGTAAAGGTAAGTCATTAAAATGCTCACTAAGTTGAAAACTGCAGTGTTTGTACTGTGCATGTTGGTGTTACGTTGGGTTAAGAATGGAGTTACTCACCTTAGTCCCTGGAGGTTTTAACACTGCTCACCTCCATAACAGCCATGAGAAATCATTGGCTCCGGACTCCAGTTTGGCGTTTGCCCTGCATCACACAGATGATACACACACACAAGCACACACACGGACGGAGGAGCAGATCCTCACTGAACTCCCGTCTGTCTGACCCTAAATCCCGTTCCCTTTCACTGAGCTAGTCTGTGGTCCTGAACCAGGCGTGAAGCGGCTTCCGGGTAACAGCCGGGACACAGGGAGGCAGCATAAAGCCCTGCACAGACCACTGCCGTGGGAACCCGAGGAACTGGTCAGGGCTCACCTCCGCTAATCGGTGGCCTCTGAGAAGTTAGAAGTCGCCTGCACGCGTCTTTCTTACCTGTAAACTACTGAGCAACAGTTGCATCTTGACATTCCTTTACAGTTCTAACTTCTACAATACTGACTTTAAGATTCAGTATTTCAGCGATGGCTGCAAGGGCTCTGGACGGCCTTGCTTTATAGTAAATAGTGTTGCAGTGCAGTATAATGAGCTGTGATTGGTATGGTTTGTCTTTAATTCCTTACCTAAATATACAGTGTTGTTTCACATGTGGTCTCTTAGTTTGGAAAGGGCTTTATTATTTAAATAGTTATTTGGAGTGTTTTTCAGACTATAACTGTTCTAGAGAAACTTAAGGTTTAGATTCTTGCCTGCTTCACTGTTACTCAGGTAATAACAAGAAGTAACCCTAGATGATGATTGTCTTAAAATAATTACTTATGTTCCTGAACTTCTGTGTCGCACTAGTTGCTGTCCTTCGGTGAAAAGCAGTGTGTGTTCGTCAGTCACGTCGTGGTGCACGTACAGCCCGTTTCAGCAAATTCCTCAGCGAGCTCCCCTGCTCTGGGGTCCAGGGTGGACCTGGAGAGGGTCCAGACCATGGTGGAGTCCATGGGGTCACCGTTGTCACCTGGAGCTCAGCAACTGATGAGAATGGTTAGATTCCAGCAGCAGGTGCGTAGAAGGGATGTCTTTCCAGGCACCAAGAACCGGTTTTAAATGATGGCTTTTTATAAGGACATGCGGTGATTTAAATTTTCCTTTGAACTTTTATTACTGATTTGAGTAGTCTGTAGTTACTCGTGTAGAAATAGCATTTTGAACATCTACTCTCTTGAAAATATATACTTTTGTTACAGATTTCACCATGTTCCATGGATTCACTCATTCATTTAGCTAGTGGGTGGATTAAGCAACTTCTCAGGACTGCATTGGTCACTGTACAAGGTTCAAGGGTCAATCTCTGTATCCTGTCCTCAGGGTCCTTTTCGGGTCATTTGGGCAGTTAGGACACCGTGTGGGATGGTGGGAAGGCGGGAAAAGGCTTACTCACGAAGTAGCGCTGTGTCGAAGCCCTTAGAGAAGAAGGCTGGTTAGGTAGGTTCCTTTGGAGGGAAGTAATTCCACAGTCTCCAGAGCTGGAGGAACAGGGTAGAGCTAGGAAATGGGTAGAAGGTCATTTCTCTGGAGCAAGGAACGGACAGGGCAAGGTTAGAGTCTGTTGGGGCAGGATCCGAGAGCGATTTGCAAATGATTTTCTAAGTCTATGGGTTTTTGACCTGCATTTGAAAGAAATTCAAGTCTGTGTCTCTCTGTGAGGCACAGTGGGTGGGCGTTGTCCTGTGCACCAAGCGGTCACTGGTTAGATTTCTAGTTAGGGCACATGCCCATGTTGCTGGCCTGATGCCCAGTGTGGGGCATGCAGGAGGCGGCCAATCCATGTCCTCTCTCATCGATATTTCTCTCTCTCCCTCCCTCTCCCTTCCTGTCTCTCCAAAAGAAGAAATATTTTAAAAGACATAATACAAAAAAAGCCTCATGTAACTTTGAGAAATGTACCAACATGAACATAGCGCAGACATCTTTGGAGAAGGGCAGAGGCAGGAGAACAGGAGAGCTGACGACCGCGCAAACCACAGGAAGCAGTTTCGACAAGAACAAGGCCGCTGCCTCTGTTTCTCGTGCCAATCTCTCACCTGGGTGCCCCGGAGGCTCCTGACTGGTCCTCTGTGCCACTGAGCTGAGACCACAAAACTTAATCTATTGTTCTACAAATTATTAAAGCAGACATAGCCCAAGGGTAGCTCACTGTAGTCATTGAAAATGTTTAGTCGTTGAGAATGTCACCGATTGACCCACAGAACATCACACTGTTCGTGTGTAACTGACCGTTATATTGTCCATGAAAAAGCAGCTGCTAAGGACAGCCTTGGCTTGCCCTGGCCGGTGCGGCTCAGTGCCCGGCATGTACCTGGGTTGCAGGTTTGATCCCTGGCCCCATTCAGGGTCCTGCGGGAGGCAGCCGATCAAGGTGTCTTTCTCTGTCTCTCCCTCTCCCTCTCCAACTCCCTCTTCCCCTCCCCTTCCCATCTGTCTGGAAACTAATGGAAAAATATCCTCCCGTGAGGAGTAACAATAACAAGAAAAATATCCTTGGCTTACTGAATACAAAGGTTGACAGAGAATATTTAATTCTGGGAAAATTACCTATCACTGTGACTCAGCTGAGACTGCTACATTTTATTAGCATAAATCAAGGAGGCCTGTGTAGTGGAAATGTTACAATGTGCCAATGCAGTTTTCCTACGAGTGCTAGTACTTATTTTAATTTTTTCTAAAGGAAATATTACAATCAAGTGATTAAGATCCCTGACTCGTTAGGTGGCTGGGTTTACGTCCTGTTTCTTGCACTAATTCATTGTGTGACCTTTTTTTTTCTCTTTTTTTTCTTTATTGATGTTAGAGGAAGGGAGTGGGAGAGAGAGAAATATGGATGAGAGAGAACATCGATTGTCAGCCACGTTACCTGTAACCTCGGTCTCCTCGACTTCATGCTGCGTAGTCGACGTAGCTCACTTCATAGGGGTGTTTGAGGATCTGCTGAAGGAGTGCACATTGCGCGGTTCTGAGTTACTGCAGACATGAGCGGTCATCATTGACATTAACGGGGACGTTTCTGCACTTCCCTTGCTTAGAGCGGCGTCCCCATCGGAGAGCAGCTGCAGTCGGTGTTGGGAAATGCTGCGCAGCGGATGGCGGGTCTGCAGTCGTCTTCGCCCCTAGGGGCCATGGACGGGTTGTCCCCCAGCCCTTCCCCCTGCAGAGCTGCGTTGCCCGCGGGAAGGCTGGAGGAAGGCCTGGCAGCTGGCACTGATGGGCGGTCAGGCCCCCCCGGGGAGGCACTCAGGACAGCCCTCGGGCAGTGGGAACCTCTGCCACAGGAGCGGGCTCTTCCTCCGAGCGCCCGTGAGCACGCGGTGTCTGCCTTGGTCCCCGAGCGAGCCGGCGGCCGCTCCGGTCCCCCGCCGGCGGACGTGCTGTCTCTCCTCCAGAGCCTGTGTGGCCAGGCGAGCCGTCTCCGTGTGGAGCCCCACCGCGAGTGGCCGGGACCCGGCCCCAAGCCCCGGGACGGCCTCGTGGATGCTGCGTAAGTACTGAGTAACTCCTGGGGGAACTGTCCCCAGCGGTCGTTGTAGCAGCTCTTGCATTTTAGCAGACACCCCGACAGGAAGCAGACTTCTCGGGTAGAACGGAGGTTTCCGGGGACTGCCCGAATTGGGGTCCGCGCACTCTCCGGGTCTCGAGGGGTCGAGCGTCAGTGCGGGTTGGAGTGGAGTGCTCTGCAGGGGTGGAGGTGCGCTGTGGGAACCGTAGTAAATACCTGTTTGCCTCTGTCCCAAATGAGCCACCGGAACCTTATTTTTTGTGCATCGTGTGTGACCTAAGCTAACTTGGAGTCATCAAAACATTAAGCTTATAGTTCCTTACAGTTGCAGGCTCCTATCCCTGACCTAATTCCGATTATTTGGCAGTGCTGGTGTGACTGAGGGACGGCTGAGTGTGTACACGTTTCTGTCCTTGCACAGCTGTGACGGTCACAGTACAGCACTAGATGGGAGTCCGCGCTCCAGCCTGTCCTGTTAACGCCTCTGCCTCAAGTTTACTCTCTGGCTCAGTTTCCCCCATATACAGGGAGGTGGTAGTGTTGGTTGAAATTTTCTCACGGTCTTTAGTGCATTGGGGTCGGCAGCGTTATTTATTGAAATGTGGCTCTTGTTCAGTAAGGAATAGAAAGGTAACCCCTGTCTGTAATTGTTGATAGTTTACATCACTGTTCACAGCCGGTATGTGATACGGCAAAACTAAAGCCCCAAGAAACAAAAAGGCAAAACACAAGAAACACTGGACAGATTGAGAACTGCTCTGGGTCAGCTGAGAGGGAGTCCCCTCTCCTCCAGATCCCCCTTCCAGAACACAACCCTGCGCCCCCCGCGGCCAGCGCCCCAGCCCGCGTGGGAAGGAGCACACTGCCCGGACTGGAGGCGGAACCCTCACTGTCAGCCGCCTGGTGTCTTGGTCACAGATGGGGCCGCACCTCGGCGGATGTGGTCTGTGTGTCAGTTTCTGTGATCGTGAATCTTCTCGTGCAGTCTGCTGATGTGGGAAATTTCATTAATTTTGATCAACTGAACCAGCCTTGCACACCCGAGATAAATCCCTCTTGGTCCTGCGTATCATTGTTTACACATTGCTGGATTTGATTTGCTGGCATTTTGTTGAGTATTCTTGAGTCTAACTCAAGAGAGATATTGGTCTGTATTTCTCTTTATACTGTCTTTGTATCAGGGTAATGCTGGCCCACAAGGTGAGTTCTGTGTTTCAGAAGAGATTGTATGAAATTGGTGTTACCTCTTCAGTGAAACCAGCAGACCTAGATGTTTCTTTCTTGGAAACTATTTAATTGCAAATTCCATTCCTAATGTAGTAAAGTTGTCAGTTCTCCCCATTAATATAGAGGCTTAGTTAACGTAATGCACTTTAAAATCCCTGTGTTTATTTTGTAGACAAAGACAAGATTATTTTTAAGTTATAGGAAAAGGCAAAAGAGGTAGAAGCTAAAGCAACTTTGGGCAGATGATGAAGGGGGAGGAATCAGGCTTCCGGTGTCAAGCCTTCCACAGCGCGGGTGTTCAGGCCCGTGGAGTCGCCAGAGGGGTAGATACAAGATCAGTGGACACCTTGGAGGGCCCAGAGATAGCCCCACACAATTGTGCTCAACTGATTCTTGACAAAGGGGCCACAGCAGTTCAACGGGCGAGGACAGTTCTTGAACACATGGCCTGGAGCTGTGGGGTGTCCAGCAGGCAACAGTGAGCTCTGCGCTGAGCTCGGGTCTCGTACGGAGTCATCCAGGTGGATGGTGCGCTTACTCGTGACGCCCAGAGCTGTGTGTTGGCTGCTTGTTGTGCAGTTGGGTGGTTTGCTGCAATATTGGAATCAATCGTCACAGTATTATTTTTAAATTACCTTTAGGATGGGAGAACAGCCTGTGTGCTCCTACTTGGAAAAGATTCTCTCTAAGAACATGGAACGGCTGGAGAAGCAGCTCGCAGACTACATTGACCAGCGAATATATAGACTCCAGGAGCACTTTGATAATAAGATTGCTTTGTTGATGGACTTGCTGCAAAGCCCCAGCTCGCCACCCCATGGGCTGCCTCTCAGACATTACGACTCTGGAGAGACTCTTTCAAATGGGGAGCGATAAGTGCTCAGCAGGCAAGGTGCCCACAGGTGTTTCTTACGTGTTGACGACAAAGCTGAGACCCGCAGCTCGAACCGGTGCTCAGTGTCCCTGCGGGAACGTGACCTCAGCGTCCACTGTGCCTGCGCTTGTGACTGCAGACCCGGTGCTGTGGGTGAGCGTGAGCGTGATGGGTCCGAGTTACCTCGTTTGCACCGTGTTCACTGGACAGAAATGTACGTGCCCGTCTGTGTTGTGTCGGGGTTTAAAATCTTTAGGGATTTCCGTATGGTTTGTTAGTGCATATTGGATATGTATTTGAACTATTGTTTTTATTTATTATTTGACCTTATGTTTTAGGGATATGGATACTTGCTTAGAGTATTTGATTTTTTTTTTCTTTTTCAAATTGGTTATTCTTGGAAAATCTGGTGCTTATGACTTGCTACCTTTAATTTCAGATCACCAAATTAAATTTCATCTTGTTTATCTCAATACAAACTGGAAAGTGCTATTTGACCTTTGTAAAATTAGTTAAATTAGGGTCATTTATTTCATTTTCTGTCATATTGTGGCTATAAATAGGAAAGTAAAAATCAAAACTGGCCTATTCTTTGTTAGAATTGTTTCTTTAGATTTAGTGATTGATACTGAACAAGAGAAGTTACTTTGTTTCAGCTCAACGCAGAAAGTCGGAGGAACTCCCCCTTGGAGCAGATCGGGCTGTTCTCTGCAGAGCCTTTGGGGTGCTCTGCTTTGAAGGAGGAAGGTGCGTGACCATGAGATGGCCGTTCGCTGGCACTCAGTGTGCAGACATTATCTCTATTGTGTGTGTGCTGATGGGCGATGTATCGGCGTCTAAAAAATAAGTGCATCCAATCTGGAACTGTTTGCTGTCAAAGGGAATGTCACAGCCTTCCGCGTTCTCCTGTGTGACGTTTATCATCCTTTGAACGTGCTGCCCCAGCACAGTCCTGGTACATGGAAATCCAGTAAATGTTAGACTTTCCCACTTCTCTGTCTGCTCTTCTGTTGTCCTTCCTCTCAAACAGTAGCAGTGACACACATGCTCCCTAATATCATTACTGTTCCAGTGAAGTGGAAAGTGCCCTTCCCCTCCTGATCCGACGTCGGCGCTGGCGAGGGGTCACATGCAAGCCCCCTGCAGTCCTGTGCACTGACGATGAAGGGACCTGAGAACGCATCCTCGGGTGATTTCTTGGTTGTGCCGTCGAGTGCATGCAGCCATCCGAGGTGGTACAGCCTGTGCACACCTGGAGCACGTGGTCTAGATACTGCTCCCAGGCTTCACGCCTGCACAGCCTCCTGCGCGAAGCCACACGAGACGGGGTCGAGCACGGGCTGCAGTGACGCAGCTGCACATGTGAGCGCAGGGTACGCGCGGCTGCTGCCGGCACGATGCCTGCCCCGGAGCAGCGGGCTTTCTTGTGTGAGTGGAGGACACCCTGAAACAAGCAGGTGTAGCACAGTGAGCGCGTACACCAGTGGCAGTCGTTCATTATCAAGTGTGCATACCATACACAATCGTATGTGCCGCACCGTTCTATAACTGGCAAGCAGTAGGTTTGTTTACTGGCATCGCCACAAACGTGTAGGTGAAATGCTACGGCACTTACGATGTCGCTAGGTGACAGGAATTTTCAGCTCTGTTATTGGAGACCACCTTCGTACATGCGGTCTGCCGCTGACCGAAGACCGCTGTTCTGCAGCACGTGGCTACTGAGCTGTGGTCTCCAGTGTGGTTCAGGGACCGGCTTCATCAGCATCACCTGGGAACTGGCTCGACGCGGATTCTCAGGCCCCACCGCAGACGTATGAGTCAGAACCGGGGGTGAGGCCAGCGTCCGTCCCAGCCAGCCCTCGGTTTGCTGTGTGCTCAGGTAGTACTGCGGGCCTGTGTTCACAAGCCGGGGCCCCGGCCAGATTGCAGGGGCTCCTCCTAAAACCCCGACGAGCACCTTCCAGAGGTGTTCTGTAACAAGCTAAAGGAAATCTAGACTTACTAGAGTTTGGCACCCCCGCAAGGTTGTGTCCTTGGCTACGTTTTCCAGTCCGTGTCCTGCCGACACTGCCCTGCACACGTCCCACTCCAGCCGCGCTGCCCTGTCCTTGTCCCTGAGCACACGTGACTCACGGCAGCCTCAGGGTTCTGTGGGTAAGATTCCCCTCTGCAACACCTTCATTTTGCAAACTTTTTGTTTGTTTGTTTGTTTTTTGGGAGAAAGCAATTTAATGTAGTATAGGCTCAAATGAAAAATTAAATACATTTTGCAAACTTTCTTTTTCTAGGTCTCTGCTGAAATGTCACCTCCTCAGAAATGCCTTCCTCGACCATCCTAGCTAACACACTCTTCCTACCCCTTCACTTTGTCAGCCATTTTCACTGTACTTTTTTAATTTTATTAATTTATTTATTTTTGTTACAGATGTTTCTCCTTTTTCCCCCACTGATTCCCCTCCCCCATCCTCCCCTCCCTGTCCCCAGCTTTGTTGTCCATGTGCATTGTTCATGCACACATGCATATAAGTTCTGTGGTTTATCTTTCCCCCACCAACCCCTCTTCTGGGGGTTGTCAGTCTGTACCCCACTTCCACGTCTCTGGGACTACCCCATTTCTCAGACTGTTACGTTCATTATATTCCACAAATAAGTGAGATCATATGATACTTGTCTTTCTCTGTTTGGCTTGTTTCGCTTAGGATGATACTTTCCAGGTCCCTCCATGTCATCTCAAAGGATAAGAGATCTTTCTTTCTTACAGCTGCATAGTACTCCATTGTGTATATGTACCACAGCTTTGTTATCCATTCGTCTACTGATGGACACTTGGGCTGTTTCCAGATCTTAGCGATTGTAAATAGTGCTGCTACAAACATGGGTGTACATACATTCTTTCTGATTGGTGTTTCAGGCTTCTTATGGTATATTCCTAGAAGTGGGATCACTGGGTCAAATGGCAGTTCCATTTTTAATTTTTTGAAGTAACACCATATTGTTTTCCATAGTGGCTGCATCAGTCTGCATTCCCATCAGCAGTGCACTAGAGTCCCCTTTTCTCCACACCCTCGCCAACACTTGTTGTTTGGTGATTGTTGATGGCGGCCGTTCTGACAGGTGTGAGGTGATACCTGTTCACTTTACTTTTCCTATTGCTGTTCTTTAAGGGCTAGATCGTTTTTGTTCATCAGAAAATGTCTTCTTAAAAATTTTTTTTTGCCTTTTATTCCCAAAGGATAGTTTTGCTGGATATATAATTTGAAATTGACAATTATTTTTATCCAGCACTTGAAAAATGGCGTGGGCTACTTCCATGTGGCCTCTGTGATCGTAGGTGAGAAAATCACTTTCATGTGAATTGGTGTCCCCCTACGGGTAACGTGTCATTTCTGTCTGGCTGTCTTCAAGTTTGTTCCTTTGTCTTTAGTCTTCGGAAGTTTCATTATTATCATGTGTTTTGCCATGGGTTTTCTTGGTTTTATCCTGCTTGGGGTTTTCTCACCTTTTTTTTTTTTTTTCCCCTCAGCTTCTTGAATGAGCCAGTTTGTATCTTTACCAAATTTGAGAAGTTTTAGCTATTATTTCTTTAAAAATTCCTTCAGTTCCATTTTCTTTCTCTTATCCTTCTAAGACTCTGATGGCATAAATGTTGGGTCTTCCATTACAGTCCCCCTGGTCCCTGAGGCTTTCATTTTGGTTCAGTTTGGGTAAACTCTCTTATTCCGTCCTTACGTTTGCTGATTCAGCCCTGTTGTCTTCAAGAGTTCTTGAGCCCATCCAGTGAAATGTTTTGTGTTTGTTTTGTTTAATTTTTACTAGTGTACTTATTTGGTTCTATAATTTCCATCTGGTTCTTTTGTTATAACCTTTACTTTTTTTGCTGGTATTTCTGTATTTTTGCTTTTAAGAAAATTTGTTATTGATTATTGGAGATATTTTATGATGGCTGCCTTAAACCCTTCTTGGGTATTTCCAACACTTGATTTATCTTGCTGTTGGCACCTTTTCTTATTCAGGTATTCTCTGGCTCTTGGTCTGACAGGTGCTTTTCCATTGAATCCTGGGTATTTAGCTGTTGTGTTAGGAGACTAGGTCCTATTTCAATCTTTAATTTTATCAGGTGGTCACCTGCGTAGGTTTAGCGTGCAGGCCCTGGCGTGCTTTTGTGGGATGAAGTTCCAAGGACAATTGAATGTTCAGAGGCTTTTACAGTGTTACTCAGATCTTAGCTGCTCTGGTGCCACCAGGATGCCCATGTCCCGAGGGTGCTGCCTGAAGGAGAAGGACCCACCCCAGCTCAGAGCCACCTGCTGCCAGCTGGGCGGGGCGGGAATCCCTGGCCTGTGGGGTCCACGATGCTGGTTCTAGTGGGATCCCCTCTGGACTGCCAGCCGGCCGCCCCACTGTCTCTCAACAGGGGAGAGGAATCTCAGAACCAGCAAGGAACAGAGCCCGTGCCCTGCCCCTTCCTGTCAGCAGGACTCATGCATCCGAGGAGGGAGGGTAAGCCCACCGGAGCCACCTCCTGTTAGACTCCGAGTCGGGGACACTGCGCCAGGCTGCCTCCCATGCTGCTGTCTGTTCATCGGGGCCTGGGGTCCCCGGCCCGTTGCTTCCCTCTTTCCAGCTTCCAGTTCTCCTTTTGTCGACCTTTGTTTTTTCCAGGGGTTACACTTACTCCTCGTGGGGAGGATCAGATAGAAACAAATCTAAACCATCTTTTTAAATTTTTTTCAGTATTTTTAAATTGATATTTTAGAGAGAGAGAAGGGAGAGGGAGAGAGAGCTACATCTATGAAAGAGAAACATCAATCAGTTGCCACCTTGTACACACCCCAACCAGGGACCAAACCCACAACTTGGGTATGTGCACCGACCGGAAATCGAACTGGCGACCTTTCCACCTGGTGCCTTCTCATTTCATGTTACTAGATTGGCTGGGTGTGAGCACCATAAACACACCTGCCTAGAACAAGTAGCCTATACAACTAGCGTTTTTGTAACTGTTTTGTCTTAACTGTTGCGAAAATTAATAAAGGAAATGTCAACTGAAATGCAAATCAGGAAGGCCTGTGGAAGGAGCTCTCGTGCCGTGCCGTGCCTTTGATCGCAGGAAGACCACCTACAGACCCTGACAGGAAGAGACATACCTTGACCTTCCAAACAGGAAGTGCAGCTACTTGATTACTCCAGGAGAAAGGAAGATTTTCTTCTTGCCCAGCAAAAAGCCCAGCCAATAGAAACATTGTTGTGGCTCAGCCAATGAGAAGGCGTGTTCACTTGAACTCTTACTTTCCTCTAATGAGCCTTCGTTTTTCTCTTGCTGATGACTTCCTTGTCCCACTCTCCTTTCTAGAAAAGTCTTCCATACTTTTTCTTCTAAATTTACTTTTCGCTTATAATTGACACAATCTTATATTCTTTTCAGGAGTACAACATAGCGATGAGACAGTAGTAAACCTGATGAAGTGATCACCATGGTAAATCTTACCACCTGGCACTGTACATGGTCATGTGTCGACTAGATCCCCTATGCTGTACTTGCTATCCCTGTGACTATTTCTATACTTGGCAGTTTGTACCTTTTAATCCCTTTCATCTCTTTCCTTTTATAAATTTTTTTCTTTATTGATTTTAGAGAGAGAGGAAGGGAGAGGGAGAGAGAGGGAAAAGCATCGATGAGGGAACATCAACTGGTCGCCTCCTGCATGCCCCCCACTGGGGATTTGGTTCACAACCTGGGCATGTGCCCTGACTGGGAATCGAACCAGTGACCTCTTGGTGTGTGGGCTGATGCTCAACCACTGAGCCACACTGGCCGGGCCCTTCACCTTCTTTATCCTTCCCCAAACCATCTGGCAACCACCGGTTTGTACTCTCTTAAGTTTGTTCATTTTATTTATTGTTTATAGATTCTACATGTAAGGGAAATCGTATGGTATTTGTCTTTCTCTGTCTGTCTTACTTCACTTGGCATAACAGCGCCTAGGCCCACCCACATTGTTGGAAATGTCAAGGTCTCACTCTTTTTTACGAAGCCTTGTACCCTGCACCCCCTTCGATGTGGCTGGCTCTGCTAGATGGGACGCCACCTCGCTCGCAAGCCATTGGGTGGGGCCAATTAAGTCTTCAGATTCACTCAGTTCACTTTTGTTCATGAACACCTTTGATAAAAAGTGAAAATCTTCCAATGTCAATGAGCATGTACTTAAACCCTAGTAGATAGCTCCACAGTTTCATGATGTAGCTACAACATCGTCTAACCCGTTTTCTCTAGCTGAACTGTTAAGTATATGGGAGTTTTTAGCCTCCCACATTTCTCTCTCTCTTCTCATTAAATGGAAATCTTACACTTGCTTGTGATTAGCAGTCACATTCTGAAAATTAGAGGGAAACGAGACTTGAAAATGTAAAGACGTAGAATTAAGTGATTCAAAATAGTATTTCTGTTCCATGGGGGCTAAGACCTCAGTCCAATGGAATAGAATTCAGAACTCCATGGAGGAGCTCGTGTGCAGAGACTTGATGTCACACAGGCCACGTCACCGGTCGGCGCTGGACAATGGCTGTGCTTCTAAAGTGAGCTCTTCTGTCCTGGGCCTTAGTTCCTCCTCACAGGGATGATTAGATCCCTCTCTCCCAAGGGACAGGTTTGGTTGCTTCTTGGCCTTTTGGCCAAGGTCAAGTGTAGTACCAAAGGACAGGTTTCATAAAATACCCTGTTTTCTAAAGTTTAAAAAACAGTTTATACAGTTGGCCCTTCATCCATAGCTGGATGGTTTTTATGCTGAGTATGCTGAGCAGTCATACTGTGTATTCTTTCCTGGCTCCTGGTTCTCCAGTTCAGAGCATTAGATTAAGCAAATTGCTTGTTCCAAATAAATTGAATTTCCTGGGAAGATTTTGGAGGGAAAATGACAGGAAGGCCTATGGTCTCCTAGACAGAATGAGGGACCCGGGCTCCCAGACTCTCCTTAAACAATGAGATGGCATGACATTGTCATGGGAAAATTAAAAACCCTTTTTCCTTCAAACATCTCACTACACAATGGGTTTGCTTATTCTCAGATTGTACAGCATGACATTTTGGAAGAAGTCATTTTCTTAGTTATGCTTTTAAAATGTTTTCAAATTTGATGAACAGCAAGGGGTCTATCCTGACTCTTACCAGTGAACATATTTCAGGAGGCCCAGGAGTTTGGGAGGAAAACCATTTGCTCATGTGCCGGCCCATGTCGCTGACAGCCTGGGAGAGGGAGAGGCTGTCCCACCCTCTGTCCCGAATCCCTTCTCTGACTTGGGTCCCAGCCCCTTTCCGTCCACGAACAGCCCTTCACCCTGCTGGGCCGGCTGAGGTCCCGGGCCTCCCGGGAGACCCCTCGTGTCTTCCACGCAGGAGGCTCCGTGCTGTGGGCTCCTCCTTCCTCCACTGAAGGAGGCGTGTTGAGGCTGCCGCCTGGCTGTGTGGGGCGGGCGCCGAGTTCACTGCGTGCTGCCCCTCTGCCCAGGTGTGTGTAAGATGTTCGACGTCAGCGTTATGACTGCTGTCGGCGTTGCCTTACTGGTCGCCATACTGATGCTGATGTCCTGCGCCTCCACTCTTCTGTGCAAACTGACCGACCTCTTGAAGTAAGTGACGTGGGGAAGAGTGAAGGGCCCTCACGGGGCACCTGGGGCTGCCTGAGCAGGTCGCTCCTTGCCCAGGGCTCCACCCTGGGTGAGGTCGGGAACAGCAGGTTGAAAAGGCCAAGGCAGGTGAGGACGGGACCTGGGCTGCTTCCCCCCCGGGTCGCGGGTGAGCTCACGCGTGAGTGTTCCCGGCTGGGTGGCTGCATGTCAGCGCTGCCTGCTGTCGCCGGCCTCCCGAGCTGACCCTCCGCGGGCCCTCCGCGTCCCAGGCCCTGCAGACTGCATGGCGGGCTGTGCCCGAGCCTCTGCCTCACGCTCACCCAGAGGACGGGGAGTCGGTCTCCCCTCGCCGGGGCTGGGGAGCTCTCGGGGACAGTGAGGTGGCCTTTGGAGTGTGGGAAGTGAGCTGTGTAAAGATCCGGGGGGACACCTGACAACGGAGTGTAGATCAGACAGGTCAGTCAGTTGGGGCAGAGGACCTTCCACTGCGGGAGACATTCCCTGTGAGGAGGGTGTTCCCCTTCCAGGAAGATGAGCCCGAGACCCGGAAGGTAAGCCCCAGGGCCTGGGGACAGCTGGCCGGGGCGCTTAGCGGGCCTGCAGCGACCAGCGGGCTGACCCACACTTGCGGTCCCTCCCCCTTGTTTGCTGAGCTGGAGTTTCCATTTCTAGGGATCTGAGGAGAGAGGAGATTAGACAGGAACTTGGGACGGGCCGAGCTCCGTATGGGGCTGGTGTCCGGTGTGTGATGGGCTCCAGCACTAAACTTCCCGGGTACCCTGACGTGTAACAAATGGACTGTCTTCGTAACAATGTGTCTGTCTTTTTTCAGAGCTCCAACCTCACCTGTTTGTTTGGTCTTAAAAAATCCATCCATGGTCGCCCGTGACACGATCACCGCATCCACATATGCAACCTCCGGGTGCTACCCCAAGGTCCAGAACTGTGAGGAGTGTGACTTGTGTGCTGACTCTGAAAACCTGCCGCCGTGCTTCTGCGATGTAAACGAGGGTCTGTGACTTGTGGGCACAAAGATCGTGAACACTGTTTCTTAGTAGAATGTTTTATTTTTCAAGGCGAGTTTTATAGTGTTTGCATTATACTACGTACTGTAGAACACTCATGCACTTTTGAATAAATGCAGTGTTGAAAATAACCCTGTGCCTCAGGTGCTGTGTTGTCTGTTGTAAAGGTACTTCCCTGCGTGTATTACCTGCTTTGGGATTAGGCGGCGCGCGTGTAATGCTGCCCTGCAGTGTGAGGACAGCAGAGATGGGACGGGAACACTGGACAGGAAGGGCTATCACTGCGCACGTGCTGGGAGGCTGCCCTGCAGTGTGAGGAGAGCAGAGATGGGGACGGGAACACTGGACAGGAAGGGCTATCACTGTGCACGTGCTGGGAGGCTGCCCTGCAGTGTGAGGACAGCAGAGATGGGGACGGGAAGGACTGGACAGGAAGGGCTATCACTGCGCACGTGCTGGGAGGCTGCCCTGCAGTGTGAGGACAGCAGAGATGGGGACGGGAACACTGGACAGGAAGGGCTATCACTGCGCACGTGCTGGGAGGCTGCCCTGCAGTGTGAGGACAGCAAAGATGGGGACAGGAACACTGGACAGGAAGGGCTATCACTGCGCACAGCTGGAGGCTGCCCTGCAGTGTGAGGACAGCAGAGATGGGGACGGGAAGGACTGGACAGGAAGGGCTATCACTGCGCACGTGCTGGGAGGCTGCCCTGCAGTGTGAGGACAGCAGAGATGGGGACGGGAACACTGGACAGGAAGGGCTATCACTGCGCACGTGCTGGGAGGCTGCCCTGCAGTGTGAGGACAGCAAAGATGGGGACAGGAACACTGGACAGGAAGGGCTATCACTGCGCACATGCTGGGAGGCTGCCCTGCAGTGTGAGGACAGCAGAGATGGGGACGGGAAGGACTGGACAGGAAGGGCTATCACTGCGCACGTGCTGGGAGGCTGCCCTGCAGTGTGAGGACAGCAGAGATGGGGACGGGAACACTGGACAGGAAGGGCTATCACTGCGCACGTGCTGGGGAGGCTGCCCTGCAGTGTGAGGAGAGCAGAGATGGGGACGGGGACGACTGGACAGGAAGGCTATCACTGCGCACGTGCTTGGAGGCTGCCCTGCAGTGTGAGGACAGCAGAGATGGGGACGGGGACGACTGGACAGGAAGGGCTATCACTGCGCACGTGCTTGGAGGCTGCCCTGCAGTGTGAGGACAGCAGAGATGGGACGGGAACACTGGACAGGAAGGGCTATCACTGCGCACGGCCGGGGAGGCTGCCTGCAGTGTGAGGAGAGCAGAGATGGGGACGGGAACACTGGACAGGAAGGGCTATCACTGCGCACATGCTGGGAGGCTGCCCTGCAGTGTGAGGACAGCAGAGATGGGGACGGGAACACTGGACAGGAAGGGCTATCACTGCGCACGTGCTGGGAGGCTGCCCTGCAGTGTGAGGAGAGCAGAGATGGGGACGGGAACACTGGACAGGAAGGGCTATCACTGCGCACATGCTGGGAGGCTGCCCTGCAGTGTGAGGACAGCAGAGATGGGGACGGGAACACTGGACAGGAAGGGCTATCACTGCGCACGTGCTGGGAGGCTGCCCTGCAGTGTGAGGACAGCAGAGATGGGGACGGGAACACTGGACAGGAAGGGCTATCACTGCGCACGTGCTGGGAGGCTGCCCTGCAGTGTGAGGACAGCAGAGATGAGGACGGGAAGGACTGGACAGGAAGGGCTATCACTGCGCACGTGCTGGGAGGCTGCCCTGCAGTGTGAGGACAGCAGAGATGAGGACGGGAAGGACTGGACAGGAAGGGCTATCACTGCGCACGTGCCGGGGAGGCTGCCCTGCAGGGTAAGGACAGCAGAGATGGGGACGGGAACACTGGACAGGAAGGGCTATCACTGCGCACGTGCTGGGAGGCTGCCCTGCAGTGTGAGGAGAGCAGAGATGGGGACGGGACGACTGGACAGGAAGGGCTATCACTGCGCACGTGCTGGGAGGCTGCCCTGCAGTGTGAGGACAGCAGAGATGGGGACGGGAACACTGGACAGGAAGGGCTATCACTGCGCACGTGCCGGGGAGGCTGCCCTGCAGTGTGAGGAGAGCAGAGATGGGGACGGGAACACTGGACAGGAAGGGCTATCACTGCGCACGTGCTGGGAGGCTGCCCTGCAGTGTGAGGACAGCAGAGATGAGGACGGGAACACTGGACAGGAAGGGCTATCACTGCGCACGTGCTGGGAGACTGCGCTGCAGTGTGAGGAGAGCAGAGATGGGGACGGGAAGGACTGGACAGGTAGGGCTATCACTGCGCACGTGCTGGGAGGCTGCCCTGCAGTGTGAGGACAGCAGAGATGGGGACGGGAAGGACTGGACAGGAAGGGCCATCACTGCGCACGTGCTGGGAGGCTGCCCTGCAGTGTGAGGACAGCAGAGATGGGGACGGGAACACTGGACAGGAAGGGCTATCACTGCACACGTGCTGGGGAGGCTGCCCTGCAGTGTGAGGACAGCAGAGATGGGGCGGGAAGGACTGGACAGGAAGGGCCATCACTGCGCACGTGCTGGGAGGCTGCCCTGCAGTGTGAGGACAGCAGAGATGGGGACGGGAACACTGGACAGAAAGGGCTATCACTGCGCACGTGCCGGGAGGCTGTCCTGCTTGTGAGGACAGCAGAGATGGGGACGGGAACACTGGACAGGAAGGGCTATCACTGCGCACGTGCTGGGAGGCTGCCCTGCAGTGTGAGGAGAGCAGAGATGGGGACGGGAACACTGGACAGGAAGGGCTATCACTGCGCACGTGCTGGGAGGCTGCCCTGCAGTGTGAGGAGAGCAGAGATGGGGACGGGAACACTGGACAGGAAGGGCCATCACTGCGCACGTGCTGGGAGGCTGCCCTGCAGTGTGAGGACAGCAGAGATGGGGACGGGAACACTGGACAGGAAGGGCTATCACTGCGCACGTGCTGGGAGGCTGCCCTGCAGTGTGAGGACAGCAGAGATGGGGACGGGAAGGACTGGACAGGAAGGGCTAGCACTGCGCACGTGCTGGGAGGCTGCCCTGCAGTGTGAGGACAGCAGAGATGGGGACGGGAACACTGGACAGGAAGGGCTATCACTGCGCACGTGCTGGGAGGCTGCCCTGCAGTGTGAGGACAGCAGAGATGGGGACGGGAACACTGGACAGGAAGGGCCATCACTGCGCACGTGCTGGGGAGACTGCCCTGCAGTGTGAGGACAGCAGAGATGGGGACGGGAAGGACTGGACAGGAAGGGCTATCACTGCGCACGTGCTGGGAGGCTGCCCTGCAGTGTGAGGAGAGCAGAGATGGGGACGGGAACACTGGACAGGAAGGGCTATCACTGCGCACGTGCCTGGGAGGCTGCCTTGCATTGTGAGGACAGCAGAGATGGGGACGGGAACACTGGACAGGAAGGGCTATCACTGCGCACGTGCTGGGAGGCTGCCCTGCAGTGTGAGGACAGCAGAGATGGGGACGGGAACACTGGACAGGAAGGGCCATCACTGCGCACGTGCTGGGGAGACTGCCCTGCAGTGTGAGGACAGCAGAGATGGGGACGGGAAGGACTGGACAGGAAGGGCCATCACTGCGCACGTGCTGGGAGGCTGCCCTGCAGTGTGAGGACAGCAGAGATGGGGACGGGACGACTGGACAGGAAGGGCTATCACTGCGCACGTGCTGGGAGGCTGCCCTGCAGTGTGAGGACAGCAGAGATGGGACGGGAACACTGGACAGGAAGGGCTATCACTGCGCACGTGCTGGGAGGCTGCCCTGCAGTGTGAGGACAGCAGAGATGGGGACGGGAACACTGGACAGGAAGGGCCATCACTGCGCACGTGCTGGGGAGACTGCCCTGCAGTGTGAGGACAGCAGAGATGGGGACGGGAAGGACTGGACAGGAAGGGCTATCACTGCGCACGTGCTGGGAGGCTGCCCTGCAGTGTGAGGACAGCAGAGATGGGGACGGGAACACTGGACAGGAAGGGCCATCACTGCGCACGTGCTGGGAGGCTGCCCTGCAGTGTGAGGACAGCAGAGATGGGGACGGGAAGGACTGGACAGGAAGGGCTATCACTGCGCACGTGCTGGGAGGCTGCCCTGCAGTGTGAGGACAGCAGAGATGGGACGGGAAGGACTGGACAGGAAGGGCTATCACTGCGCACGTGCTGGGAGGCTGCCCTGCAGTGTGAGGACAGCAGAGATGGGGACGGGACGACTGGACAGGAAGGGCTATCACTGCGCACGTGCTGGGAGGCTGCCCTGCAGTGTGAGGACAGCAGAGATGGGGACGGGAACACTGGACAGGAAGGACCATCACTGCGCACGTGCTGGGGAGACTGCCCTGCAGTGTGAGGACAGCAGAGAAGGGATGGGAACACTGGACAGGAAAGGCTATCACTGCGCACGTTCTGGGGAGACTGCCCTGCAGTGTGAGGACAGCAGAGATGGGGACGGGAAGGACTGGACAGGAAGGGCTATCACTGCGCACGTGCTGGGAGACTGCCCTGCAGTGTGAGGACAGCAGAGATGGGATGGGAACACTGGACAGGAAGGGCTATCACTGCGCACGTGCTGGGAGGCTGCCCTGCAGTGTGAGGAGAGCAGAGATGGGGCGGGAAGGACTGGACAGGAAGGGCTATCACTGCGCATGTCCTTGGGAGGAAAACAGCATCTGTTGACTCCGTGCAGCCTCGTAAGGAAATGCGATGTCCCCAAATGAGACAAAGTGCCCCTGGTGGCGAATCGTCTGGATCTTACTACAGGGAGTCCTCCCTGAGACGACGAGAACGACGCCTTCCACTGGGGTGTCACAGACTCGGAACCAGCGGCCAAGCCGTGGCATGTGCCAACTTCTGGGGGTGCGCTGTCCGTCCAGACGTGTCCCCCAGAGCCTGGAGCCCCAGGTCGGCCTGAGGGAAAGGCCCCGGAGGGAGGTCCTTTCCCAGGGCAACGCTGGACTCCTGGCAGGTGCAGGCCCGTGGAAGGCCCTCGCTTGCAGGGGTCTGGGGAAGGCGAGGATCCCGGGAGAACGGGCTGGGGAGACAGGGGGAGCCGGGCTAAGGGGCTCACGGACTTACTCCCGTGGCCTGGAACGCGGCTGCTCTGTCACCGAGATGCGGCTGCAGGTGTCGTGCTGTGTGCCACCACCTGACCCAGGTGTTAGTCTCAGGGTGGGTGCTTGTGCGTGTGGGTGAGCGTCCAGAATTTCCTGCTGAGGAGACACCAGCCCCCGCAACTGAGGGGACGGAGTCCAGCACCCCGACCCTCAGCACGGCTGTGGGCCAGCCGCCACACCAGGGTCCAGGCTCCGTCCCTCCAATACGGAAGAGTCTGTGAGGACTTCCAGTGAGGTCTTGTTCAGGATATAAAACAAAAGACAAAGAGCCAGTCTCTTCCTAAATGACCTGCTGCCTTGCTGTCGCGGGGCCTTCAATGACACTCAGCTCCTCGTGCAAGGACAGTCACTGCCAGAGCCACAGGCAGTGACCCCGACAGCCGTGACCACCATCTCCCCGCCTCCCCCTTGTCCCTCTGAGGGAAGGCCCAGCGGTGAGCACCACAACCCTTTCGGGTGTGAACTGGTGAAGCCAGCCTTAGCCCGGAAACCCCGGAGCCCTCCACGCGTGGACCCGAACAGCATGTGCCCAGGACCCGACTCTGCCTGCACCCGGCCACGCCTTCCTGTGGGCCCTGCAAGGCCTGCCCTGCACCCTCCAGGACGCAGGAGATAACTCGAGCTCACTGTCACTCGTGACCCCGGTGAAGTGTGGCTCACTGTCCAGTGCCCGGAGCTCGGCCCTGCACCCTCCAGGACCCAGAGAGAAACTCGAGCTCACTGTCACTCGTGGCCCTGGTGAAGTGTGGCTCGCGGTCTCTCGTGACCCCGGTGAAGTGTGGCTCACTGTCCAGTGCCCGGAGCTCGGCCCTGCACCCTCCAGGACCCAGAGAGAAACTCGAGCTCACTGTCTCTCGTGGCCCCGGTGAAGTGTGGCTCACTGTCCAGTGCCCGGAGCTCTGCCCTGCACCCTCCAGGACCCAGAGAGAAACTCGAGCTCACTGTCTCTCGTGGCCCCTGTGAAGTGTGGCTCACTGTCCAGTGCCCGGAGCTCTGCCCTGCACCCTCCAGGACCCAGAGAGAAACTTGAGCTCACTGTCTCTCGTGGCCCCGGTGAAGTATGGCTCACTGTCCAGTGCCCGGAGCTCAGCCCTGCACCCTCCAGGACACGGGAGATAACTCGAGCTCACTGTCTCTCGTGGCCCCTGTGAAGTGTGGCTCACTGTCCAGTGCCCGGAGTTCGGCCCAGCAGTCACAAGGTGCACCAACTGGGAGCACGGACCCGAGTCACACAGCCTCTGCTCCCAGTGTTTCCTCTGCACACCTGCAGGAGGTCCATCATCACTGTCTCTGCCGCCTGCGTCACTGGTGGGCACGTCCCCTGCTCTGCAGACACCAGGGGCCGGAAGACCGCACTGCCGGTCATGGAAGCCGCGCAGGTTTCTCGTGAATGACAAAGAAAACGCTCTCTTGTAACTGTACACGTTGTGAATGTCCCATTAATGAGAAAAGACTAGAGAAAGTGATATGCAAGTGACCTGGTGACTGGCTGCAGTGTGCTCCACCCTGTCACCTGTGTAGTACCAGGAGACTGAACCAAGTACACAAACCAGCAAAGTCACTGAAAACAAAGCATTGCTATTTAAGACATGTTGTTTCCAAAGTGGACATATTTGCTTTCCATTTGCAGATGCATCACCCATCAGCACACATCCGATAGTGATAATGTCTGCACACTGAGTCCGCCAGTGAACCCCCACCGTCAGGTCACGCGCCTCCCTCCTTCCACGCAGAGCCCCAGCACGTCGCACGGCAACACCCCGCAGGCTCCGCAGAGAGGAGCCGTCTCCACCCACAGCGGGAGTTCGCCCTCCTGTCTGGGCTGAGCTACAACAGGTAACTTCTCTGGCTTTCCGTCCGGCCCGAGAGCTACAGGACAGCCCCACAAGAAGACAGTGCTGACGGCTGCTTCCCGTCCTGCCACAGGCCTGGAACCAACAGCCCAGACTGCAGGGGCCGGCGCATGCGCCTCACCCGCCCCGAGCAACGTGAGTGTGGAAATCACCGATCGGACTTAAAGGTTCCAAGTCTTCAGTATCCAATTTCAAAGAAAAAAAAATCAAATACTTTGAGCATCATTTTTCAAACTTCTAATACTGTGAAATAGTCATTTATAAATAAAAAACTTCTATCAAACACCATTATAAATCCCTAAAGATTTTAAACCCCGACACAACACAGACGGGCACGTACATTTCTGTCCTGTGAACACGGTGCAAACGAGGTAACTCGGACCCATCACGCTCACTCTCACCCACAGCACCGGGTCTGCAGTCACAAGCGCAGGCACAGTGGACGCTGAGGTCACGTTCCCGCAGGGACACTGAGCACCGGTTCGAGCTGCGGGTCTCAGCTTTGTCGTCAACACGTAAGAAACACCTGTGGGCACCTTGCCTGCGGAGCACTTATCGCTCCCCATTTGAAAGAGTCTCTCCAGAGTCGTAATGTCTGAGAGGCAGCCCATGGGGTGGCGAGCTGGGGCTTTGCAGCAAGTCCATCAACAGAGCAATCTTGTTATCAAAGTGCTCCTGGAGTCTATATATTCGCTGGTCAATGTAGTCTGCGAGCTTCTTCTCCAGCCGTTCCATGTTCTTAGAGAGAATCTTTTCCAAGTAGGAGCACACAGGCTGTTCTCCCATCCTAAAGGTAATTTAAAAATAATACTGTGACGATTGTTTCTAATATTGCAGCAAACCACCCAAACGTCACAACAAGCAGCCAACACACAGCTCTGGGCGTCACGAGTAAGCGCACCGTCCACCTGGATGACTCCGTACGAGACCCGAGCTCAGCGCAGAGCTCACTGTTGCCTGCTGGACACCCCACAGCTCCAGGCCATGTGTTCAAGAACTGTCCTCGCCGTTGAACTGCTGTGGCCCCTTTGTCAAGAATCAGTTGAGCACAATTGTGTGGGGCTATCTCTGGGCCCTCCAAGGTGTCCACTGATCTTGTATCTACCCCTCTGGCGACTCCACGGGCCTGAACACCCCCGCTAGGGAAGGCTTGACACCGGAAGACTGATTCCTCCCCCTTCATCATCTGCCCAAGTTGCTTTAGCTTCTACCTCTTTTGCCTTTTCCTATAACTTAAAAATAATCTTGTCTTTGTCTACAAAATAAACACAGGGATTTTAAAGTGCATTACGTTAACTAAGCCTCTATATTAATGGGGAGAACTGACAACTTTACTACATTAGGAATGGAATTTGCAATTAAATAGTTTCCAAGAAAGAAACATCTAGGTCTGCTGGTTTCACTGAAGAGATATCACCAATTTCACACAATCTCTTCTGAAACACAGAACTCACCTTGTGGGCCAGCATTACCCTGATACAAAGACAGTATAAAGAGAAATACAGACCAATATCTCTCTTGAGTTAGACTCAAGAATACTCAACAAAATGCCAGCAAATCAAATCCAGCAATGTGTAAACAATGATACGCAGGACCAAGAGGGATTTATCTTGGATGTGCAAGGCTGGTTCAGTTGATCAAAATTAATGAAATTTCCCACATCAGCAGACTGCACGAGAAGATTCACGATCACAGAAACTGACACACAGACCACATCTGCCGAGGTGCGGCCCCATCTGTGACCAAGACACCAGGCGGCTGACGGTGAGGGTCCCGCCTCCGGTGCGGGCAGTGTGCTCCTTCGGACGCGGGCTGGGGCGCTGGCCGCGGGGGGCGCAGGGTTGTGTTTTGGAAGGGGGATCTGGAGGAGTGGGGACTCCCTCTCAGCTGACCCAGAGCAGTTCTCAATCTGTCCAGTGTTTCTTTTGTTTTGCCTTTTTGTTTCTTGGGGCTTTAGTTTTGCCATATCACATACCGGCTGTGAACAGTGATGTAGACTATCAACAATTACAGACAGGGGTTACCTTTCTATTTCTTACTGAACAAGAGCCACATTTCAATAAATAACGCTGCCGACCCCAATGCTACTGAAGACCGTGAGAAAATTTCAACCGACACAACCACCTCCCTGTATATGGGGGAAACTGAGCCGGAGAGTAAACTTGAGGCAGAGGCGTTCACAGGACAGGCTGGAGCGCGGACTCCTGTCAGTGCTGTACTGTGACCGTCACAGCTGTGCAAGGACAGGAACGTGTACACACTCAGCCGTCCCTCAGTCACACCAGCACTGCCAAAAAATCGGAATTATGAGGTCAGGGATAGGAGCCTGCAACTGTAAGGAACTATAAGCTTAAAATGTTTTCATGTCTCCAAGTTAGCTTAGGTCACACACGATGCACAAAAAATAAGGTTCCGGTGGCTCATTTGGGACAGAGGCAAGCAGGTATTGACTACGGTTCCCACAGCGCCCTCGACCCCTGCAGAGCACTCCACTCCAACCCGCACTGACGCTGACCCCTCGCGACCCGGAGAGTGCGCGGACCCCAGTTCGGCAGTCCCCGGAAACCTCCGTTCTACCCGAGAAGTCTGCTTCCTGTCGGGGTGTCTGCTAAAATGCAAGAGCTGCTACAACGACCGCTGGGGACAGTTCCCCCAGGAGTTACTCAGTACTTACGCAGCATCCACGAGGCCGTCCCGGGGCTTGGGGCCGGGTCCCGGCCACTCGCGGTGGGGCTCCACACGGAGACGGCTCGCCTGGCCACACAGGCTCTGGAGAAGAGACAGCACGTCCGCCTGCGGGGGACCGGAGCGGCCGCCAGCTCGCTCGGGGACCAAGGCAGACACCGCGTGCTCACGGGCGCTCGGAGGAAGAGCCCGCTCCTGTGGCAGAGGTTCCCACTGCCCGAGGGCTGTCCTGAGTGCCTCCCCGGGGGGCCGTGACCGCCCATCAGTGCCAGCTGCCAGGCCTTCCTCCAGCCTTCCCGCGGGCAACGCAGCTCTGCAGGGGGAAGGGCTGGGGGACAACCCGTCCATGGCCCCTAGGGGCGAAGACGACTGCAGACCCGCCATCCGCTGCGCAGCATTTCCCAACACCGACTGCAGCTGCTCTCCGATGGGGACGCCGTTCTAAGCAAGGGAAGTGCAGAAACGTCCCCGTTAATGTCAATGATGACGCTCATTTCTGCAGTAACTCAGAACCGCGCAATGTGCATTCCTCCAGTTGATCCTCAAACACCCCTATGAAGTGAGCTACGTCGACTACGCAGCATGAAGTCAAGGAGACCGAGGTTGCAGGTAACGTGGCTGACAATCGATGTTCTCTCTCATCCATATTTCTCTCTCTCCCACTCCCTTCCTCTAACATCAACGAAGAAAAAAAAGAAAAAAAAAGGTAACTTGACCGAGGTCACACAATGAATTAGTGGAAGAAACAGGACATGAATCCAGCCACCTAACGAGTCAGGGATCTTAATCACTTGATTGTAATATTTCCTTTAGAAAAAATTAAAATAAGTACTAGCACTCGTAGGAAAACTGCATTGGCACATTGTAACATTTCCACTACACAGGCCTCCTTGATTTATGCTAATAAAATGTAGCACTCTCAGTTGAGTCACAGTTTTAGGTTATTTTCCCAGAATTAAATATTCTCTGTCAACCTTTGTATTCAGTAAGCCAAGGATATTTTTCTTGTTTTGGTTACTCCTCACCTAAGGATATTTTTCCATTAGTTTCCAGACAGATGGAAAGAGGAGGGGAAGAGGGAGTTGGAGAGGGAGAGGAAGAGACAGAGAAAGACACCTTGATCGGCTGCCTCCCGCAGGACCCTGAATGGGGCCAGGGATCGAACCTGCAACCCAGGTACATCCCGGGCGCAGAGCCGCACCGGCCAGGGCAAGCCAAGGCTGTCCTTAGCAGCTGCTTTTTCATGGACAATATAACGGTCAGTTACACACTTACAGTGTGATGTTCTGTGGGTCAATCGGTGACATTCTCAACGACTAAACATTTTCAATGACTACAGTGAGCTACCCTTGGGCTATGTCTGCTTTAATAATTTGTAGAATAATAGATTAAGTTTGTGGTCTCAGCTCAGTGGCACAGAGGACCAGTCAGGAACCTCCGGGGCACCCAGGTGAGAGACTGGCACGAGAAACAGAGGCAGCGGCCTTGTTCTTGTCGAAACTGCTTCCTGTGGTTTCCGCGGTCGTCAGCTCTCCTGTTCTCCTGCCTCTGCCCTTCTCCAAAGATGTCTGCACTATGTTCGTGTTGGTACATTTCTCAAAGTTACATGAGGCTGTTTTTGTATTATGTCTTTTAAAATATTTCTTTTGGAGAGACAGGAAGGGAGAGGGAGGGAGAGATAGAAATATCGATGAGAGAGGACATGGATTGGCCGCCTCCTGCATGCCCCACACTGGGCATCGGGCCAGCCACCTGGGCATGTGCCCTAACTAGAAAACGAACCAGTGACTGCTTGGTGCACAGGACAACGCCCACCCACTGTGCCTCACAGACAGACACAGACTTGAATTTCTTTCAAATGCAGGTCAAAAACCCATAGACTTAGAAAATCATTTGCAAATCGCTCTCGGATCCTGCCCCAACCGACTCTAACCTTGCCCTGTCCGTTCCTTGCTCCAGAGAAATGACCTTCTACCCATTTCCTAGCTCCACCCTGTTCCTCCAGCTCTGGAGACCGTGGAATTGCTTCCCTCCAAAGGAACCTGCCTAACCAGCCTTCTTCTCTAAGGAACTCGACACAGCGCTACTTCGTGAGTAAGCCTTTTCCCGCCTTCCCACCATCCCACACGGTGTCCTAACTGCCCAAATGACCCGAAAAGGACCCTGAGGACAGGATACAGAGATTGACCCTTGAACCTTGTACAGTGACCAATGCAGTCCTGAGAAGTTGCTTAATCCACCCACTAGCTAAATGAATGAGTGAATCCATGGAACATGGTGAAATCTGTAACAAAAGTATATATTTTCAAGAGAGTAGATGTACAAAATGCTATTTCTACACGAGTAACTACAGACTACTCAAATCAGTAATAAAAGTTCAAAGGAAAATTTAAATCACCGCATGTCCTTATAAAAAGCCATCATTTAAAACCGGTTCTTGGTGCCTGGAAAGACATCCCTTCTACGCACCTGCTGCTGGAATCTAACCATTCTCATCAGTTGCTGAGCTCCAGGTGACAACGGTGACCCCATGGACTCCACCATGGTCTGGACCCTCTCCAGGTCCACCCTGGACCCCAGAGCAGGGGAGCTCGCTGAGGAATTTGCTGAAACGGGCTGTACGTGCACCACGACGTGACTGACGAACACACACTGCTTTTCACCGAAGGACAGCAACTAGTGCGACACAGAAGTTCAGGAACATAAGTAATTATTTTAAGACAATCATCATCTAGGGTTACTTCTTGTTATTACCTGAGTAACAGTGAAGCAGGCAAGAATCTAAACCTTAAGTTTCTCTAGAACAGTTATAGTCTGAAAAACACTCCAAATAACTATTTAAATAATAAAGCCCTTTCCAAACTAAGAGATCACATGTGAAACAACATTGTATACTTAGGTAAGGAATTAAAGACGAACCATACCAATCACAGCTCATTACACTGCACTTGCTGTAACACTATTTACTATAAAGCAAGGCCGTCCAGAGCCCTTGCAGCCATCGCTGAAATACTGAATCTTAAAGTCAGTATTGTAGAAGTCAGAACTGTAAAGGAATGTGAAGCTGATCGACTGTTGCTCAGTAGTTTACAGGTAAGAAAGACGCGTGCAGGGACTTCTAACTTCTCAGAGGCCACCAATCAGCGGAGGTGAGCCCTGACCAGTTCCTCGGGTTCCCACGGCAGTGGTCTGTGCAGGGCTCTATGCTGCCTCCCTGTGTCCCGGCTGTTACCCGGAAGCCGCTTCACGCCTGGTTCAGGACCACAGACTAGCTCAGTGAAGGGAACGGGATTTAGGGCCAGACAGACGGGAGTTCAGCGAGGATCTGCTCCTCCGTCCGTGTGTGTGCTTGTGTGTGTGTATCATCTGTGTGATGCAGGGCAAACGCCAAACTGGAGTCCGGAGCCAATGATTTCTCATGGCTGTCATGGAGGTGAGCAGTGTTAAAACCTCCAGGGACTAAGGTGAGTAACGCCATTCCCAACCCAACGTAAGACCAACATGCACAGTGCAAACACTGCAGTTTTCAACTTAGTGAGCATTTTAATGACGTACCTTTACTTTACAAGCATGTGCGGAGGACTCCAATTTCAGATATTTTTTGTACAAGATAATGTTTTCATGTTCTCTAAAAACAAAAATAAAAATTGAGTTATTTTTTTCCTTTCACACATTATCATTTTTACTTAAATATTTATTTTTTTGTTAATTTTCACCTAAGGGTATTTTTCTATTGATTTGTTTTTAGACAGACTGTGGGGGTGGGGGGGGGAGTGGGGAAACATCAATGATGAGTTGGCCCCCTCACAACCTGAGAAACTTTGGTCCACGGGTGACGCTCTAACTGCCAAGCCAAACCAACCAGGCCACATGATCACTTTTAATAATCACATTTAAAAATAAGGGTTTTTTTGCCTGCCCAGTGTCACTGGGTGGTTGAGCTTAGACCCATGCACCAAGAGGTCGCTGGTTCAATTCCCTGTCAGGGCACATGCCCAGGTTGTGGGCCAAATCCCCAGTGGGGAGCGTGCAGGAGGCGGCCAATCTATGTTCTCTCTCATCGATTTTCTATCTCTCCTTCACTCCCTTCCTCTGTTTCTATAAATCAATTTTTAAAAATTAAAATAAAATTTTCAGGACAACACTTTTCCTGGATTCAGTTTCTCGGGTGAAGCATGAAGGGTTGTGGCTCCCACTGAATGGCCCTGGGCAGAGGGACTCCATCTGCCACTTACTAGCTGTATGATAGAATTACCTTTGATAAGAACTGTAGAATTATGTAGCAACAACACATTTGAAAACTTGGTAAACATATATACTGTATCTACCATGTCCAACATGCATGGCATATAAAACGATTTATATTTTGGGTTCTATAAAAGAAAGAGTAAAAGTCTGAAAATATCAACAAGTAGTAATACCGGGGTAAATATGCAGGCACAGCGCTGGGCTTGGGCACTGTTCGTACAGGGCTTCCCACCAAAAGAGAAGATCAACGGTCCACACTGATGGACAAATTACCTTTTGGAAAACTGAGCCCCTGAGGTACAGAACAGGAGGAATCTGCGCCCCTGCCGAGCTGTGACCTTCCACCCAACGATCCCCCAGCTCTCAATACCCGGGGTCCTGAAAACAACGGGCCGGTCCCGGGGGTCCCTGAAGGTCTGACTCTGTGCCCGCGGTACGTTGAAGTCGCCCGGAACGGGGCGCCGCAGTCCGACCCCCGAGAGGAGCCCGACGGCGAGCGGCCGCGCGGGCACAGACCTGCGGTCCAGGACGGTGCCGACGCTGCTGCCCCTGCCGGTGCCGCAGTACTCGGCGCCCACGTACACCTCCATGTTCCGGGCGGAGCTCAGGACGCCCACCGCCCCGACCTGCGCGCCGCCGTCGGGGTCGCAGGCCAGGTGCAGGCAGCAGGGCTCCTCGCCGCGGCTCCCCGGGCTCCGCTTCAGCACCGCCAGATCCTGGCTGGGAGGACAGGGCGGCGTCACGGCGGGCTCCGCGCACCTGGCGCCAGGCGCGTCCGCCCGGGTCCCGCGCGCCCGCCGCCCTCGCTGCGGGCCCCGCGCCGCCCTCGTCCGTCCGCACACGGCCGGGCCCCGCGGCTCGCCCTGCGCGCCTGCTGGCCGCCGCCGCCGAGCCCCGGAGCCCCTTCCACCCCCGCGCGCTCGGGGCCGCTCTGCGCTCGGGGCCGCGGGCCGCGCCCAGGCCGGGCGGGCGGTGTCTGCGCCGCTCTGGCCGCGGAGGGCAGCTCGCCGGCTGCAGGCGGAGCCGGGGGCGCGGGCCGCTCGGACCGCCCGGCGGCTACGGCGGGGATGGGGGTCGGGGTGCCCCGCCCGCCCCCGAGCCCTCAGCACCCCAGGAGCGCGGCCGCGGGGAGCAGCGACCCGCCCCCGCCGGCCCAGCGCACCCCGGGGCCGGCGGCGCCAGCAGCTCGTCCCAGTCCAGGTCCCGGCCGCCCAGTCCCGCTGCGGAGACCCGGAGGCGCTGGTCCAGGGCCCCGCCTGCCGCATCCCAGGAAGAGGCCAGCGTCGGGCGGCGGGCCAACCGCTCGTCCTCCGTCCGGGTCTCCATTCGGCCACCCGCAGGCCAGACCAGCCCCGGAACCTGTGTTCGGGAGCCTGGGTTTCCGCCAGGCGAAGAGGAGGTGATGAAGCCAAGCAACTTCCGGCTCCTTCGGCTTCTCCCAGCTGCGGGGAGACCAAGTACCGTAGCAACGCATGCGCGTGCGGCGGGATTCAGGTACCAGTTCAGAAGTGCCGGGAGGTCTCAGGGGCGGAGCTTCCAGGGCGGAGCATGCGCTCTGAGAACACCTCCCCCACCGCAGGCGCTGTGCGCAGGCGTGGGCGGTCCCAGGGCCACCAGGTGGGTCCTTCGAAGTTTCTAGGGAAAAGAGGCAGGTGGTGGACGACGTTTGACGGGAGGCCCGCGAGGGTCGGTGCCTTGAGACTCCGTGGAAATGCAGGTGTGGTGTCGTCGCTCGCACGACGGGAAGGACGTGCCCCAGATCCTCCGACGTGAACGGCGAGTCCTTCCCGCCCCTGCAGCGGCGCGCGGTGGGCTGGGGACCTGCGGGGAGTCGCTTTGTTCTCCCCTCCCCCTCCCTCTTCTTGGATCTCAAAGCGACGGCCTGGTGGAGGCCTGGACCGAGTCGCGGCGGCCCCTTGCGGGGCGGGGTGTGGGAGGGAGCTAGGTTGCCGGGCTACGGGCAGGGGCGCAGGTGAGGGGTACCTGGTGCCCCCAGGGGGTGTCAAAGGAACCACCCTCGGGCTCTGCACTGGAGCAGTAGCGGCCTGGGGTCTCCGGGGAAGTGGAATCTGAGGGAACCGAAGGGTGTGCAAAGTAAGTGCAGATGGAACCTTCTAGATGCCCCCTGGTGGGATGGGAAATGGTGCCTACACCCCACAACTCATCGTCTTCCTCAAGACTTTTGTGCAGGTGAGTTTGGACTCTGAAGGAGAAAGTGAATTTCATAATTCAGAGCCCTTAATTGTAATGTTTTTTCAAATACCCCAGCCTGGTTCTAGGTTGTGTACATCAGTGATCCTGTCCTGTATGACCTTCCTTTTCCCCACTCCTCAAAGGAGTGATTAGCTTTGTTTTTAACACCAGATGTCTTTATGTGTGAATCCTCAGCATTTACCACGGTAACTGGTACGCTAATACCAAGTGAATAACGAATGAATGACATTCAACGTTAAAACAGAAGGCTTGTTTATTTGTCTGTCGGAGAGGTTGATTGTTTTGAACATCTTTACATTAAACATATAATACAATATTAGGAAGTGAGGAAACAGTGAGAAGGCTCATGGGAAATTGCTTTCTTCAAAAAACGTTGTCTTGGAAACTTGAGAAACTAAGGAATTGATACCTATCTCATCATCGTTGCTTGAGCCAGAGGTTGGTGACATTCCTTGAAGTGTTAACAGATGCAGGGTACTGGGTCTCATGGAAGGAAGCACAAATGTGTCAGGCCCAGGTAAAATATCTGGGATTCCTCATTTCTCAAGGGAAACGGGTCCTGGGCCAAGAAAGGAATCAAGTCATGATGGCCCAGCCACATGGAGGGAACTTTGAGTTCCTAGGGACGGCCGGGTTCTGCTGAATCTGGATACCAGGGTATGTGGCATTAGCCAAACCACTATACCAAATGCTGAAAGGCCCAGACACAGCACCCCTCTTATGGGAAGCTGAACAGGAGAAATCCTTCCAGGCCATAAAAATCATCTTGGGCACGTGCCAGCCCTAGGGCTGCCAGACCCCAGTCAGCCTTCTGACTGCTACACACATGAAAAGGAGAAAATAGCATTAGGGGTCCTTACCCAGCAAGTGGAGCTATGGTAAAGGCCGGTTGCATACCTATCTAAACAACTGGACAGTGTGGCAGCAGGCTGGGCAGCCTGCCTGAGGACAATGGCTGCAGCCATCACTCTCTTACAGGAGGCAGACAAACTTACACTTGGGCAAGAGATCAACATATTTGTTCCCCACGTGGTATCCAGCCTTCTGGCTGTACAAGGACACAAATGGCTCTCCAACCTGGGGCTGACACAATACCAAAGACTTCATGAGAACCCTCTAATGAAAGTACCGTCTGGCGAATAACCTGGCTACATTCGTCCCTGCTGAGCTGGGAGAGCCGGATCATGATTACCTCGAGACAACTGAGGAGGTGTGTGTCAGCTGACCAGACCTATGAGACCAGCCCCTGGACAAGCCAGATCTGATGCACTGCACTGACGGGAGTAGGTACATGACTGAGGAGAAGCGAATGGCGGTGTACGCTGTCATGGACAAAGAAAATAATTGAAGCAAAGCCCCTGCCGGCCGGTTGGTCTGCGCAAAAGGCAAAACTGGGCATTAATCAGGGCGCTCCAAATAGCAGAGGGAAAAGGGCCAACATTTACACAGACTCTCAGTGTGCCTTCGCCACCATACGTATCCATGGGACAATCTACCGAGAAAGAGGACTCTTAACAGCCGAAGGGAATGAAATTAAAAACAAGGCAGAAATACTTCCACTGCTAGAAGCAGTTTGGGCCCCTCTGAGAGTAACAGTAATGCATTGCGGGGACCACCAGAAAGAAGAAACAGAAATAGCCCCAGGGAATAGAAAGGCAGATCAGGCAGCAAAAGCAACAGCTATACGAAAGGCCCCAGCAAATACCCCAGCCATGGAAGGTACCCTATTAGAACTGAACCTCAACCAGCCAGACTACGCCCCAGACGGATGGAAATGGGCCATACAAGAAAACCACCTCTGAATGCCCACCAGCATAAGGAAAATGCCGGATGAGTGGCTCTATGTACCACAAGGCCAGGCCAACAAGCTCGTTAGGCAATGCCATGCCCTCACACACCTAGGGAAAGCATCCCTAGAGGCCTTACTCAAAAGGTACCACTATTTCCCTAACATGTCTGGACTAAGTGCAGCAGCAGCAGCAGCTCAGTGCCTAACCTGTGCCAGGAGTAATGCAGCAGGCCGCCCGAAAAGGCTCCCCAGAATACAACACGGGGCAGCAGGATTTTGAGGACCTGCAGATTGATTTTACTGAGATCAAGCCTAGCCGGGGATACAGATACATGCTTGTCTTAGTCTGTACTTTCTCAGGATGGGTAGAAGCCTTCCCCACCAGGACAGAAAAGAGCAGAGAGGTAGTTAAGATCCTCCTCAGAGAAGTTATTCCCTGCTTCGGGTTACCTATAACCATTGGCAATGACAACGGGCCAGCGTTTGTTGCAAAAGTGCTCCAGGAACCAGCAACACAATTAAAAATTACTTGGAAGCTACACACTGCCTGTCGCCCTCAGAGCTCAGGAAAGGTAGAGCGCATGAACCGGACTCTAAAAGAAAATCTTGCAAAGTTTCATCAGAAGACTGATCTGCCCTGGCCAGACCTGTTACCCCCTGGCATTATTCAGGGTGCAAAATGCCCCCAATTCCCCAGGATATACACCTTTTGAGTTAGTCTGTGGGCGGCCACCAGCCATACTACCCCTACCTAGAGGAGAGCTCCGAATTACAGGAGAAGCAGGGCAATCCAGGAGCTTGGGCAGTCACTTAGCCAGATACATCAGGCCGGGTTAGGCCAAGAACCCTTACCATGACGGGGGCCAGCCCACTCACATAAACCAGGGGACTACGTATAGATAACATACTGGAAAAAGGAACTCCTCCAACCCACATGGACTGGGCCCCACCTTGTCATACTAACAACCCCTACCACACTTAAGGTTGTAGGACTTACCCCTTGGATCCATCACAGCTGAGCCAAGAGAGCAACAGACCCCCAGATTTCAGGACGGATGGGGACCCAGAGGACCAGCTGCCACGGTTGCCGGCCCTGAAGCTGAAAAGGAAACCAGGCATTGACGGAGGCTCAGAGGAATGGACAAGTGCCCAGGATGGTACCTGACTGCAGTGAGAAGTTTTGCTGTAATCTTAGGAACTGGACTGATGACTGTAGCCCCAACAGAATGGAACACCTGGGAGTGACTGGCTCTCAAGGGAACATATCTTGGGCTTGTCTGTGCTTTTGGATACTTAGTATGCTCTGCGTAGCAGACCCTGCCCCAATTCAAGCCCCTGTATGTAAATGTAGCAGGCCTGCAGAAAGAATACGACTTGCAGGAGGGGTAGCAACCTATAAACTGCCTGCGATGTCCTTTACATTTAGCTCTGCTATGCCCGTGGAATGCCTGCAACGTTATCTCCCAGGCACTGACCCTAAAGTTACTGGGCCCCCCAACATAACCGGGACAACAAGTTATACATGACGGGGAAATTGGGAGGGACTATTGGATACCAGAGTCAAAAATGCATACGGGCCCCCAAGTAGACAGGTTTGTTGGAGTACCTACTGCCAATTAGGTGATTTAACCCAGGAGGAATTTGAGACGGTCCAAGAAGAAGCTGTTAGAGAAATAGCCGGACGGCTAAAGAAACAGGAGGAAAAGATAATATATAAGGGTGCCAACCTTACCACTTTCCAGAGGCACTACAGAAAATCAGCCCCATAGTGCAGGTTCAGGAACTAGTACGAACCATGTACTCAGCATACCAACTCGGGAAAGTTGTTTGCCTACCGTTCCAGGAGAAAGGACTCCTTAGAATTCTCGTCCCATGTACCTGGAATCATACTAGGACACCCCCTGGCCCAAATCAGACCCTAACCCAGGGGCCAATAACAACTAATGTATTCCTGGACACCAGAGGATCAAATGTCACCTGCCTAGAGTCCAAAAATGTCTCCCCAGAAGAAAACCCAGTAGGGCAGCGGTTCTCAACCTGTAGGTGGCGACCCTTTTGGGGGTTGAACCACTCTTTCACAGGGATCACCTAAGCATAATAGTAGCAAAATTACAGTTATGAAGTAGCAATGAAAATAATTTAATGGTTGGCGGTCACCACAACATGAGGAACTGGATTAAAGGGTCGTGGCATCAGGAAGGTTGAGAACCACTGCAGTAGGGTCTCTTAACCCAGAGTTTTGTACCAGTAGCCTCAGTATCCCCAATAATAGCAGTTTCTGTACTGAGCCAGGATTATTCCTCCTGTGTGGACGGGAGGCCTATAGGTGCCTCCCCAC